CGTCGCGCTCTCTCTCTCTCTCTCTCTCTCTCTCTCTCTCTCTCTCTCTCTCTCTCTCTCTTTTTCTCTGTTCTCAAACGGATCATCCCCCCCTTTTTCATGATACCACGTCCCCTTCCTCCTCAGGCTGTCGGAGATCGCCGGTCATTCCATTTATATTTCGGTGCTCTTTGCTGACAAGAGAGTTTCCATGGCTACGATATCCTCTGTGAGGATGGAACCAATCGTGTTTCTGCTCGCTCCACCTAACTCTCGCCTCATCCCTCTTCTTCTCTCCTCTTCCCTCCTTCTACTTTTCAGTTCTCCCTTGGTCCCGCTCGCAATCGTCTTCGTTCCTCCGACGAGATCCCGACGATTGGTCCGGGGGTCGGCTGCAATTATGACGTCGCGCGAAGGAGAGTACGCGCCGCATCAAGACCGGTTGCATCCACGATTGCACGTTGCACTCATCGGCCGATTCTCGCGGCGACCAGATATTTGCTCTTTACGTCTAGACGAGGAAACGAAAGCTTCAACGAAAGACACGAGATACAGTCCGCAATTCGTAAGGATCTTTTGATATCGTCTTACTTGAACGGAATATTGCGAGTATCGTTTTCAGTTGTGATATAGAAAAGGCATTATGGATATAAAAAAAAAAAAAAAAACGAGAAAACAAATTTTATAAAAAGACGAGATTATAATCATTGAATCGATGAATACCAATCCTATGATTGGAAAAATTGTTCACTTTCAATTTTTCAAATTATTTTTAAAATTTTTATAAACTTCTCGTCTTATAATTAGCGAAGATGTTGTTAATTATTATCATCAATTTTTATTTACGAAATATAAAATTGTCCTTTAAATATTTGATTTTAAAGTAGTTTAAGATACCATTTGTTATTTAATTAGCTGTTTTAATAATTACACTGTTGTATTAATTGGAAATACATAACATAATTTATATAATGTCTTAAATAATTGTTAATTTATAAAATAGAATAACATAATGGGAATATATTGTTTTTTTAATATTTATCAATTGCACACATTTGCATCTGCGAACGCACATAAATCTTGACACGTAGTGATATGTTCAAACAACTCTGTCTCTGGAATGCAGCTAGAATCATTAATCAAGTCGGGTGTAATTAACGATTTCGTAAGCACCAGTCCGGGAAGCTCGAGCGAATTAATTAGAAAGCAATAGAAATCGACTAAGTTTCACAATGGAAATTAAGCGTTTGAGATATACAGATAAGAAGAACGAAGCTGCGTTTCAATTTTTGTTTTATATCTTTTATTTTATTCTGCAAGAGAAATATACACTCTGCAAATAAAATACATATTGATGTGAAAAGATGATCTAATTTATAAGTCATCACAATGATGATACACCGTATCTGAACTGTCGAAAACGCACACAGAACGTATTTTACATGAGAAAAGACAAGACTATTGTTTCATTATTTTCATAGCTTCTTATATTCTTCCTAAAATCAAAAAGCGAATTTATTATCTGCATGAAGAGAAAAAAATTAATCATTGTCATTGAAATAGCAATAAATCTTCAAGTCAATTATTACACAATTGCAATCTAACTTAATTATCTTTGAAAAATTCGAGATGATTAATAAAAAAGAATTTCAATTTTCTCATCTTTAAGATTTACCTTTAAAATTAAAAAAAGAAAAGAATTTTTTTACAATCCTTCAATTGTTAAAATCCGTCATTAAAAAAATCGAGAGCGATGCTTTACGACTGTCATCCTTCGAGTCGATTTTTGAGCGAAATAGCGATGTTCCGGTGAGAAAATGATTTAATCGCGATTCGAGAAAAATCGGGTCGACATCGCGTACATCCGCGCGTGCTTGCCGACACGCGTACACTCGTACACGTGTAGCTATCGGCCTCATGTACTACGCAATGACGTTGCCGGGTTGCGATGATGACGGCGCAGAATGTCTCGAGGCTCGTGTCTCCGTTGGGGGTCCATGCGCGAGTCGCCGATGCCCGCCACCCGGGGGGCTACATGTGTCGGGTACCCGGCTCCACGGACCCCCGTTCCCCGCCCTCGGGATCCTTTCAAGTGCCCGACGGCACGTCGTTCCGACCCCCAGGAATTGCTGGAATTATTATTTTATCGCGGCGACCCGCGCGCGAGAGAGTCGCCCGTTCGATATGCATCCTTCGATTCGTCCAGGAATCCTTTCTTGAGCTTCCAAACGGTGATTTTTTTTTCACCGTTTCGGATCCTGTTTTATATATATATATGCGTATCTATAATTAATAACAATATATATCACTTATCAAAATTAACAAGAATAAAAATAAAATAATTTTAAATGTTTATGTTAACTAGTTTAGATATAAAAATCTACCTGTCATTTTTGCATTAATATATCTGAAAGAATTAATATCTCCAGGTTTTGTAAATAAAAATTGAGTGCAGTTTATTTAAATTTATTAAAAAATATAAAATATCCAAAATTATATCTGTGTTATATCTTGATTTGAGAGATGATGAGAGATTTAATTTTATTGTTTAAATTTTGTATTGCTTTGTATTGTTTTATTCACATATCAATGTAGCTTTGAATATTCATCGAAGAGGATGTAATAATTTCCTCGGATTAAAGAGATACGATTGCAAAGCGCGAATATTTCCCCGAGAGGAAACGTCGAGGCTACGTCTCAGGAACGGCCCTGAGAGAGAGAAACGAATTCTCGCTTACATGCACCGGGGAAAGGCGCATATTGACGCCACGTGCGCGCGCGCCGGGATGTTTATCTCGGCAAGAGCAAAATTCCGGCTTCGTGAAATCAATATTATTGTTCCCGTCGTGCTAAATTTGCATTGCCGGCTCACCGCGGCCGGTGCATAATGCGAGCGCGAGCGCCCGGACAGACATTTGGAAGATCCGCGAACGAGCAAATGTCTCGAGAAATCAGCGCAGAAATCGAAGGTTCCAATCTAGATTGGTTTCATAATTAATTTTATTAAAATAGAAAAATGATTTTAATAATAATAATTTATAATAATATACATTAATTGTAGTAATTTATCGGTAAATTATTGGACATAATTTTTACGTACATTTATTTATCCATACCAGATAAATTATTATATTATTATTATTATTATTATCACATTATATATTATCATTTCCATTGCCAATTAAATTGTACTGAGAGATATAAAAGAGAGATATGAGAGGTTCTCCATTTTTTAAATGTGGCTGCAGAGATCTTCATGCTGATTTATAAATAATTTCCCGCACGATTATCTTTCATTTTTGAAACTGGGAATATGCTAAGCACGCCTTACTGCCTTGCTAGTCAGTTCTGCACACGTGTCTGCAACACGAGCCATTCATATTTGCGTACAATTAGAAGATCGGACGCAGATAGAGAGGATGCTCTCTGCGCTCTCGGTGCAAAGCAGCTCGGACAGGAATGTCATAATCTTTAATCCGCGAGGGCACCGAGGGTCGCGCACTCGCGTGCGTTCACGCGCCGATGGTAGCGCGAGTTAATCCCGCAAAGTGCGAGAGCAGAGAGATGCTCCTCTTTGATCTCTCCACAAAAGCCGCCACACGGCATTGACCGTGGTTTATATACGCCCGTGGTTTGTATGAGCCACTGTATTTGCTAGCTCAGTCATTCATTAAATTCGTTGTATAATTAGGCCTGCCTTTTGGGACGGACGAACGAAGAAGGGACCGACTTCGGGACGCTCGGTGCTCTCCTCTCTTTCTCCCCCTTTCCTCCCTCCTTCCCTCCCAGGATCATGCTGCTCTATTTTGTCGCGCGCATTTTTTTCGCATTCCGTCCCGACGCGAGTACGCGTTATTCTCGAGCTTACCGGAGGAAAGTGTTTCAAGGATGAACACTTGGGCGAACTGGAAAATTGCTTTAGTTTTGGGACGAGCACAATTATGATTCTCTCTATGAAAGTTCAATCAAATAAATAAAACAGCTTGAAAATAGTTAGTCGCGTATGTAACACTTCCATGTATGGATAAAAATCTTTCGCGGGGTCCTTATCATTAATCATTTATTCGCGTACGATCAATAAACTAGCGGTCCATTTTCCAGCGATCTTTCACGTACGATCCACACATTCGCGACAACAAACGGGCGGTAATTAGTCGTCGCTTCGTCGCGGACAAACCGCGAAGTGGATATCGTAAGCCGGATGCGTATTATCTGTGGATCTATAAAAGATTCTACATTACAATAATTAACATAGAAAGCCAGAAACCCTTTTATGAATAGCACAATATATTTGTCTCTATCTCGATAAGAATCTATATAAGATTTAAAATAAGTTTGTCACGAGGTAATTAAAAAAAAATTTTTATCTAAAGATATTTCTTCGCAAAAATTTTTCTTCAGTTATTAAAAGAAATCATTGAAATCATTTGTGCTATGGAGAAAAGTTTTAAGTTGACCGAAAAATCTGTTATTAATTCGATCTTTCTGCGAGAATTCGCGCTAAAATCGTTTTTCTGCGTATTTAGTTAAGATAGAAAAAAGGAATACAGGCGCACGAAGCGCGGCTCCATAGGATCCCATAGGAATTTCGGATTTCACGGTTTCCCGCGTAGAAGGGAACCTCAAGGACTGTAGGAGTTACGGTGCAGAGATGCAGGATCGCGGGCAGGATATGCGAGAGGCACGATGCGGACGCGGAGGAATCGGCGGCGAGGGAGAAAGAGAAGAGGACGAGGGCCGGTGAAGAAGAGAAAGGAGGAAGATCCTACGTGTCTCCCCACAGAGGTAGGTGGTCCACGGAACCGCCTCCGCGGACGGTCTGCCATCCGCCCGCACGGTTTCGGTGCGTGTGCCAGACGTACGCTCGTCTCGTCTCGCTTCGGCCTCGGCCTCTTCCAACCCGTGGACCAACCTGTGCGGTTGAGCCGTGTGCGGACGGCTTCCTTCGCCTCCCTGAATCCATCGGGTCCATCGTCGCGTCTCTCCTCTCGACCGATCAGTCGGCCATCGGAGTTTACCTGATTCGCCAGTATCCGTCGCGCCGTCGTGTCCCCGACCTCGGATGTTTACTCGATGTCGCGAGAGATAGAGATCAGATAAGGGACAACGCGGCATCTCTAGTTTACGCTACGGCTCGTCTTCGATAACCGATAAACGGGAAGCCGAAAGGTTGAGGGGGAGAGGGAAGCGATAAAGAGACGTCGTGGATTTAACTATGACGCGACTCGATGATCGCGAAGTCGGCCAGGATGAGTCTTCTCTCGTTCGATGTGCCACTCCTCATAACGTCTCTTGTCGAATGCGAGAAGGACGTTAGAATTTTCTAAAAAAGATCCACTGACGAAAGATAAGGAACAGTTCGGGAGGTTTCTGAAAAGTGCGTCTCTCCCCTGCTTTCAACACATCGTGTCGTCGGATCGATGATTCCTGTCTAATATTTCTCGGATCCGATAACGAAGTGAGTCTCCGAGTGATCTACGAGTTCACAGGAATCGGTTCAATCAATCGGAATAAAGAAAAATATATTCGATGCAGATAAGGTCGTACGGGATCGACTAAGTAGCCATAAAGAAGATTCGGCGACCTATTCGACCCGACAAATTGCACTCTGATAACCCTCGATTAATTATCGAGTATCTCTCTTTTCCTGCGACAGAAATCTCAAAAATCCCTGCGACAAATATTTACGAAATGCATCTTACATCCCGACGAAATTTACCATTTAATTTATCGATAATTATTTAAGTGATACCTTTGGCGTTCCTGTGTCGAAAGTACGTTTTTTGAGTTTGCGAATTTTTGTCATCTATGGGAAATATAAAGATTTTGGTGATCGTGGGCATCGACCGCCATTAGTGAAAGTGTTTTTCGCGTTTCACGGAAATTAAAATGGAGGCCCATCACAATAACAACGGTTTATCAACGTTGGAGGCTAAAGCTGGCTCTTCGAGCAACGACCACAGCAGTAATAATTCTTTGGATGATGCTGTAGGAAAGCTACTGCAAGGTATGTATATTTGCATTTTGTAATTGTCAGCATGTAACATACATCCATTAAAAGAGATATTACGACAATTAATAAAATAGTAAGTTTATGCATTTAAATAGCAGAGCAACGCATTTAAGTATTTAAATCATAATTATTATTTTTCATCTTTCAAGGAACGAGAATTTTGACTAATTATGCAAGAAAATATTATAACGTTGAACAAAGATTAAACATTGTGAAACATTATACTTTGAAAATTTGCAAAATTTTTTATTTAATGAAAAATTAGGTATTACATAAAACATTTTATTCTAAAAATTTGTCATAGACAGATAATTTTGTTGTACTAGCAAAATAATTATGCTTAAACATGATGATAATATTGCAAACATTTTTTTATATTCTAATAATCAACTTAAATGTAATAATTTTACATAATGATTTTGATTCAACAAAATTATTTTTAAGTCTATATCTGATTAAATTTTTAGATATTTCAAAATTATTTTTTCCATAACATTAGTCTAGATTTTACTATCTATGTAATAATTTTATTATCAATGTTCAATAAGCACAATTTTTCTTGAAAAGGAAGATGTTAAAAGAAACATTTACAAAACATTTAATAATAATTTAAATTTCCAACGGTTAAATTTCAAACGCGATATATAAACGAAAAATATGCAAATCAACAAAATTAGCAGGCAAAAAAATATCAATCATCCGAAATAGCACGCGAAATGCGCTCGTCAATTCGCTGCTCGTTTCTTTTTTTCATTCACAGCAATCTTTATCGAGTCATTTAGGGAGGGAAGGCACTGGTAATTGGCGTTGAAAGTCCGCGTCGTCGGCCGCGTCGTTCTCTTCTCCATTTGGTCGCTCGCAGATTTATCCGAGCGATATTCGCGAGAGTAGAAAGCGGAAAGCAAGGGTAGAACCCGTGGGGGAGAAAGAGGGACGGCAACGGCGGTAGAGCGGAGTCGGACGAGGCGGAGAAATATGGCTGAGGGGTCGTTTCCTCGCGAGAGGAGACGATCCCTCAGTTATATTTCTTCGGGGGAAACTCGCGAGCACGGCAGGTGCTGCGAACAGAGCGAGACGAGGCGTACGCGCCTGCCATCGCCGCTAATTATGTTAGTACCGAATTAAATCTGAAAGATCACCGTCGCGGGAGGGGAGGCGCAGGGCTATGATTTACGGCGCGCGTCAAGATTTAGTCTTCGCGACGACGAAGTTTCGCCAGAGATACGGGGTACGATCTGGTCGCCGCCGGAGACCGACGGCACCCAGACGGACGGACGGACAGGTGGAAAAATCGCCTGGGAGTGATATCTCTGCCGGACTAATTCTGTCCGCGATGTTGGACAATCGCGACGCGAATAATTACGTGGATTAATGGGGTCTAGTCGATTTAGCGGATTAGCTTAGGAGGAAGAGCTGCGGGATACATCATCCCTTTCTTGAATCTAGCTGAATCTAGATGCAAGATATGCGGTTATATTAACATCTCCCGGCGAATCGCTCGCTGTAAAAATTTTTCTCTGAAATCACTATGAGCTCACTTTTCACAATTAACATAAATTTCTAGGAAGGCATGTCTTACATGAATTTTTGATGACGATCGTGAGATGAATATCATGAATTAGTTCTGTTTTAAAAAGAATTTCAAAGGGATGTGTTTAGTTAGACAACGCAATGCCATCCTAGAAATTATAAAAGAGAACGGACACTTGAATTTGTTGATGATCGAAGTTGAGAAAAACGACGGCACGTGCGAGACTTTCATGGAGCATCGAGCGCACGCTGGAATGTATAATCCAAATAGTTTATCATACAGCTCGAGAAGAGACAAGCCTGCGTCTGCGCCGAGTAAATATTTGATCCATCGGCGCTAAGCGATGCGCATTTCGTTACAAAGTATCCACTCGGTGAAAATACGTACAGGTGTCCCTCGATATCATACTTGATCATAAGAGACACGTTTCGGATAGATACGCCTCGTGAAACTTCGCAACGCATTACGAATTATCATGTTTAGTAAATTGTTGCTCGGATAATTTTACGTGTCTCACCTATATGCCACAATAAAGTTTTATATTACAAAGTCTTTATTAAATAATAATAAAATATCATTAATATAATTAAATGGGATCATGCTTTCATTGGATAATCAATTGAATAGAATATATTTCGTTTTTCCCTGTTACATCTATTTATTTATAATTATTTATAGTTATTTGTGTTACTAAAAATTTTATAAGCTGGCATTTGTTTTATCCAAGCGTTTTAAATAATTGTAATAACCCTCGTCAGAAATGATTAGCAAGATGTCGCTGATAAATCAGATCAACGGATGATCGATCAACGGCGATCAACGTTTAGAGCTTAGTCGCTTCATTCGACTTAACTGAAATCTTAATCGTCTTGTTCTATTCCGAACACCCGCTTGTTTTGCCAATTCACATTCGTAACGCGCGTTGAAACGGCGAATTCTCATTGTATCGCGAGACCGGACGATTGGCGGCGCGAGCCGAGAATCGTCGGGCACGTGGCGACGAGTCGCGATGTCAAACATCGACGAGACGAGGTGTCGAAGCGTTTAAGAGGGCCTCGTTAAAGGCGGGAGGATTTGTAACAGACGGATTTGTAAAGGAGTTAATGTAGCAAGAGTCGACGATAGGTCGCCATTGACGGCTGGCATGGCCGAGCACACCGGTTCATTCACCAGGCCGCACAACCCGCCTATTGTGACACGGGCGCACTAACTACGGCCCTGATCTCCAACTCAAAAGCCATTCAAGATCCTGAAAAAAACGAGCGAGTTCTCTCGGTCACTCGCCGATCCGCCGATTCATCGAGTCGTTACGCCCGTAATTAGCCAAATCAAACCTGGGGATGTGAGAGAGAGAGACAGAGAGAGAGAGAGAGAGAGAGAGAGAGAGAGAGAGAGACAGAGCCTAAAATTAGGCGCGATCTTGGCGAATGGCTCTCTCAATTCCGCAATTTTGGATTTATCACCTCGATCGCACGGGTGATGCGACCACGTTTGATGCCAGGAACCGATTAATTTACCGATAATAAATACATCAACGTCGCCTCGAAATAAAACTTCGTTAGTACTTAATTCTCGTTTTATCTTCGACTGGTGCAACAACATCACTTCCCTGTATCTCCCCGTTCTTTCTTTTCTTCTATAAAATTATTATTTGATAAATAAGAGTGCTCGGAAATACTTCTTTTTCTCATTCTATGCTTCTGAGGATTCATCATTCACCAGAAGGTTCATCATCGTCGGTACCGTTGGGCCTCAAAGAGAGGCCGATCTTCGCAGACCGTCACCGTCCCTTCTAAGGATCACTAAGGACCGATGCCTTCTGCACGCCTAATCGACCACGTAAGGCCGCGTTCACCCGGTTCGCGCGAAATTCCCTCTATTCCTGTCGCGTTCTCCGCAAAGCCCTTCCGCGTTTCCGTGTAAAATTATATATTTCGGCCACGGCCATCGGCGCAGGCGTCGACGAAGGACCTCCCCCGAATGTTGAAAGACGCCGACACAAGTGCCGCGCCAGTGGACCGTGGACTCACGGTAATTAGCTCCCACCAACTTTCCGAATCCCGGGTTGACGCTTCGTCACGTGCATCGTCTCCCCGTGATCCCATTCGAGGGGTATCCTTCTTCCCCTTCCCGTTTACCCTCATTATATATGATTCGTTTCCCAAATGTTCAATGGCAATTGGGAATCTAACAAACTGTTAGAAATATAAAATACACAACTCGATTTTAATTGCAATTAAATTGAAATTTAAACTTGCTCTCTTAATCGCACGCTTAATTTCTAAATGTGTAATGTTTTTTTATCTTTATTTTTTCCAAAACATAATTATATTAATTTTATTAAAATAATAGAAGATATTAGGATCTCAATGAAATTGTCGGTTGCAAAATGCTTATTCGTCGGCTTAAACAAAAAATATACTTACTGCTTGTTACATTATTTATTTTGTAAAATGACAAACGTGACAATAAATAATTAAACGAAGTGATTCTTGAATGTTTTTCTAAGTGATTTTTAATCGTGCGAAAATGTTATGTATCATAAAACAAGATATTGAAAAAATATTATCGTTGAAGATCAATTTCATTAATTTTTTATACAAAGCAATTTCCGAACCGGCCTAATTATCGCTCCGTATTTCGAGCTCTTCCTCGTTCCTTCAATTTGGGCCAGACCACGCTTTTCTCGACCGGGGAATTAAGATTTAGGAGACCACGGTGAGAGCGCAGGACAGATTTACATAAGTCAGTATACATTTGTTTGAAGGGAGACAAAGTTTTACGACCTCGACTTGCTCGGAGCTCCTTTCCCACGAAGTGAAATGTAGGAATCCACATCCGGAGCCGAAATCCTTATTAAGCGGCGCGGAATTTTCGGTAATTCGGAGCACTTGATGCTTCGACCATATAAATATGAGTACTTGGTGATAAAGTTCGATTTTATCACCACATTCGCTAATATGTTACGCTAGCAATCAAATTTTTTAAAATGTAAAATACATCGTGAAAAATTGTACAAAGCAGAAAATTATACAATGCTCTTTAAAAATTAAATAACTTTTTTATTAGAAAACTTTATTCAAAAAATTAGTACAGATTATTCCTTTGGTTTTTGATTTTCCTCACGAATTCGCAAATTGATGGTTGATGTAATAATTATTTCTAGAAAAAGAGATAGAGTTTTATTTTGCTGAAAAAAAATCCCAGTTGGCCTACATAACCCGGTTTTATTGAGTCATTTGCATTTGAGAGGAAATAGCTGACAAGTAATAATAATTAGTTTCTTAATGTGAAGAAATAATGAGCGACAGAGAGAGCAGCTTGCTCGGCTCCTCTTTTCTTTTTTCTCTATTTCTTCGTACGATATCCAGGTCGTAAAAGTCCTATCATGTTCTTTGCAGCGAAGTTAAATAAAGAAAAGACGGAAGAAGGGGAGAGAAACCAACGGAGTTAACAAATGTCGGTCGAATAAACTGTACAGGTGTAGGTGCATTATCATGTATTCCTTTACAATCCGATTTTGTAGGATAGGAAAGAGATTTCAGATAGGATTACTTCCGGTGCCTGCAAGATACGAGTCAGAAAATTCCGCTGTCACGTGGTGTTTATAACACATACTTCGTGATTATCGTTTTTTATGATTAAGTAGAATATGCTGAGAGAAATTTTAAACTGGATTTTAATTAAAACGATGAAAAAAATTTAGATAAACTCAAAATTCTCGAACTCGAATAATCCATTGATTAAATAAAATTTCAATTATTTGAAATTTGATGCTTCTAAAATTTTTTGAAGCTCATATGGAAGTTATAGATTTATTGGGTAAAATTTTTGAGTGAAATACGAAAAGAACAGTTTTGTTAAAGCATATAAAAATTTGACGAAATATAAATTTAAAAATAACTTTATTAAACCAAAATCAAAATAATTGTTTAAGATCAGATGTATAAATTGGTTGCTAATATATTAAAACTTTTGCAATATTATTAATCTTACATGATTATTTTGCTTAAAAAAATTATTTTCAGATCTGTTCTGGCCGAATTTTTGAATATTTTGTTCAAAAATTCGGCTAGAATAAATTTGAATGATCAAAATCATTTTTTGTACATAAATCAGAATTTTGATATTTCATGTTTTTTCCCCAAAATTTCAGAAGAAAATCGTGAATATGTGAATTAGAGATCCTATCGTTCGCTATATATATTCGCAGGATATGATTGGACACTACTTCCGGTGACTTCGCGCGCCGGTGGGCGAAGAAGTGCCCACGTGAAGCGTCCGATGAACGCTTTTATGGTGTGGGCACAAGCAGCAAGACGGAGATTGGCCGACCAATATCCGCAATTACATAACGCCGAGTTATCGAAGACGTTGGGAAAATTATGGAGGTAATTAAACTTTGACTAGACTCTGACAAAAATGTGTAAATATTAGCAAAAATTAATCGCATTTCATATTTTGTATGATGTCGATATGATAAATAAAATATTGATACTAAAAACTATTCCATAAGGATATGCATAAAGCAAGCTAACAAAATATTGCAAAAATACAAAAAAAAACAAAAAAACATTAGAAGAAGTAAATCGACATCTGCAATCAATTTTGATATATTTTTTATAGAACCGAAAAGATATTTTTGTCAGTATCTTTCCCGTAAAGTTACTCGATATTTTCAAATACTTCTCGCATTCAACTGCCGTAATCGGAAATTGCGATTTGTGTCTGCCATAGGATTCTGAGCGACGGCGAGAAGCAGCCGTTCATCGAGGAAGCCGAGAGACTGCGGAACGCGCATAAGAAACAGCATCCGCACTACAAGGTAATCGACCAGCGAATTAACTGATACGACCGAGATAGAGTCGGAGAGGTGAACGTGAATGCATTATCCGCGTAATCGTGTGTCATCGAGGATGTGCGAGGAATGTTACGAAATCGCGCGAGCGAGTTCGCGATCGAGCGGCTCGATTCGCGCGGGATAGCGGAACGAATAAGCGCGTGTAATACGCGCATTCGTTTCAAAGCGCTCGAGTGGTTAATCGAGGTCCGATTGCCCGAGCGATTTAAATCCCACCGCGCCGCGCGTTGGCGATGATTTACGAGAAGGGGAAATGAATTCACCGCGATGAAGCCATCCGTGTCGCCGCTTCATGCGAGGCGAGAAAGTCGAGCGGTTGGCGACGGACGGGACGCATCGCGGAAAAAGCTTTAACTTAAGTCGTAGCTTAAATATTTCTATATATAAAATTTATATAAAAGGAATATAGTATAATACTTATATAATTTTTAATATATAATACTTATATAATTTTTAATATATAGTCTATGTACGGGACATCTGAAAAATGGATTGGTTTTTAATGACACATGATTTTTGAAAAAGAATAAGAAAATAAAAGTATTTTGGTATATTATAAAATAGAATATATGTCAGAATATATGTCAACTAACAAAATAAATTTTATTATTATTATGTCTAATTGTGTAATTTACCGAATTAATATCAATGGTTAAAATATTTTTGATTTTAACATTTAGGACACTCCTCATATTTGTGAATATCGATTTAAGTGAATTGTCAATCATGAAATTACAATAATTTATTTAAAATTATTCACTAATTTTTAAGAAATGTAAGAATATAACTTTAAATAAAAAAATACATATGTTACTTTTTTCGAAATTAAATCGAAATTAAATCTTTTGGTATTTCATTACAATTATATTGAATTAGAACATGAGAAACATGAAATATTTTGATATATAACACAAAAAACTTATACAATTTATCGTTGCTCATAAAGTGATATAATTTCAACAAAGAGTTTTGAGAGAATTTTCTGATTTAAATACAATATAATATCGTTCGTAGTACCAACCTCGTCGCAGGAAGCCAAAATCGGATGATCAGATGGGTATCATCGTGCACAGAGGCGGGCTTTCGTCGCCGGGAACCTCCCTCGACTCCTCGGCCGGTGCATCGGACTGCACCTACACTCGTCTGTACCCGGAAGCCGGTATGAAGGCATACGATCGACCGGCGACTTACCACGAGCCAAAGTCCAGTACCTACGACCTGGCCAGACCGGTCTGGGTCAATGAAACGGTCGCCAAGTACCCAGCTACCGATCATCCTAACAAGCCGACGTACGAAACGACGGCCAGGAGTTACGCCGAGGCGAAGTGCCACGAAGTCGCCAAGTATCATCACGAGATGACCGGCACCAAGTACCACCACGAGATGACCGGTACCAAGTACCATCATCATCACGAGTCGACGGCGACCAAGTATCCGGATCTGCAGACTAAACCTTACGATCTGCCCAAGTACCCGGAAGCTAAGGGATATTCGGATGGGCTCAAGTACTCCGCGGAGATGAGCAGTGGTGCGGCTGCTGCGGCCGCAGCCGCCGCTGCCGCTAAAGCGTCCTACACCTGTGTACATGGACAATATTACCCCACCGCGGAAGGGTATACCGTACACGGCGAAGAAAGTGACTATCAGCCGCAGAGCGTGTCGTCGCATCCCTCTTTTTACCCCTACATATCGGCGTCCATGGCGCAACCGCCATACTACATGGGACCTCGATAGATCCCGAGTCGGTGGAGAAGATGACGAAATAATCCTTAGACATTTTTACATGACCGAATTAAATTGTGCAACCAATTCGCAATTTTCTTACGCCATAACTTTGTTGAAAGCGAAATACTCAAGCGAAATTACAGAAATATCTATTCGTAATTCATAACGCCGTCGATATATTTTTAATCAATCATATTAATTGAGATAATTATGTTAATACGCAATTACTATGATTATATCTCCGAGAATATTTGATAACAAATTTTGCTTTTTATTTAGATGATGTCAATTTTTATATTATTATGTTACTTTACTTATGTTACTTATGTCTCAGATGACTTGCATCATTCAACAAATCTTTGTTTTTATCAATGTGTGATAAAATTCTAAGATTAAATTTTTTTGCCCTCTAAGAGGCAGAGAAAGGAAGGAGAGAGAGGAAAAGAGAAAAAAGCGTGTATGTACGTGTTTAAGTAGCAAAACAAATTGATTAATGATAACAAATAATTTACAGGAAAATCTTAAAATCAATGAATAATATGGATAAAGATCAATATTTCATTAAATCGATAATTCTTTGTTCAGTTAATATACTGTGTAAATTTATTGTTGCAGTGATCAAACAATACTTGCAATGACCAAACAATATTTCTTGTTTCTTGTAGCGAGTTTAGCCACTTAGGTTTAATTATTCAAAAGACTAAAAAATGATCCGTTATTTCAAGAACTATTTTGAGATTCTGAGATGTGACATATTGGGCAGACATCTTAATGTATCGGATTTAAATGTTTCAAGATTACTATTATATTTTTCAAAGATAACAAAGCTTTAGATAGTAAAACAGATCAAGAATAAGAAGCATATTACATTTCTCGTCTATGACATAAAACAGCTATAGCTATTCGAGAAAGCCAAGCTCTAAACTCTGTACTATCATTTCATAATGGTAATCTCAAAACGACTCACGAATACCTTAATTTAATGAGACATGACAAACAATATATAGCAATACTTTATATGAATTGTGCAAATAGAAATTTCGATTAAAAGATAAATCTACATTTGAAGAGATAAGTACTATCGAATGTTCTTTTTCGCAGAAATTAAAAGGAGAGAGAGAAAGAGAGAAAAAAACATTTTGTAGACTTTCACATTTACATCTTCCTTTCGACTGATTTTTAGAAAATAAAACATAAATATTTGTTATTATTTTTTAAAACTCTTCATTAGGTATTTCTATGTAATATTTCAATCAGATATAAAACTCATACGCAGATGCAAGAGACGCATTACTGAATCAAGTGGCGATTATGTAATCGGTAAGAGCTATCTTCATGTTAAAAACATCGTCAATTTTTCTTAGAACAAACTTTTTTCTCAAATTAGATTATTAAAATAATTGACTTCTGAGATAAGTCCAAAAGTATAAATGATTGTTGTCGTATACGTAAACATACTACATGCACAGTTACTGATACGACAAGTATCATCGTTAATACTTCCGAACGTTTCTCCCCCCTCCAGTGCCACTTCTCACGTCACAATAAGTTCGCGCTATACGTATACGTATTTATAACGTTCTACGCCGTGCTCGACGAAGCATCTCTGTTGAGTCTGTTACATTGTGATATCGCAAGATGGATTGGTCATGGTTTTCGACGCCTTTTGGGCTATTACTAACCACTCTGATCGTCATCGTGGTCTCGAAAGTTATCGCCACGATGAATCGTATGTATTTCTACTGGAAAGGTAAGGGTATACCTTACATGCCAAATTCGTTATCGTCTGCCATAATGGGCTGGAAAATGTTGGCTGGTCGCTTTCATTTCACCGAATGGTGCGATTATTTATACTATTATTTCCCGAACGCTAAATACTTTGGAATGGTGGATTTCGCTACGCCTGCCATACTTCTGCGCGACCCTGAATTGATTAAAGACACCATGGTGAAGGACTTTGAGCACTTTCAAGATCATCGCGCGTTCGTTGATGAAAATCTGGAACCGTTGTTCGGCAAGGCCGTATTCTTTATGCACGGAGATCGCTGGAAAGAAATGCGAAATGTACTGAGCCCTTCTTTCACCGCCAGCAAGATGAAACTTATGTTCGACTTGATATCGGATTGCGCCCATGATTTCGCCAACTATTTTGTCGAGCACCCGGAGCTCTGTTCCGAGGTCGAATTAAAGGGGACATTCAGACGTTATACCAACGACGTGATCGCCACAGCGGCCTTTGGCCTGAGCGTGAATTCTATGAAAGAGCAGGACAACGAGTTCTACATAAGAGGGATCGAGGCTACCAAATTCTCGAGTGGATTTCTCATGATGCTCAAGTTCATATTTCTACGCTCGTTTCCGAGGTTCTCCAAAATGATTGGCCTGACGCTCTTCACAAATGAGACGTCCACGTTTTTCAGGAAGATCGTGGCGGATACCATTAAAATGCGGGAGGAGAAAGGTATTGTCAGACCGGATATGATTCATTTGCTAATGCAGGCTCGGGAGAAGGAAGGTACCAGTGCGCAGGTGACGTTAGACGACATCGTTTCGCAAGCCTTCATCTTTTTCTTCGCTGGCTTTGACACGTCCTCGACGCTGATGTGCTTCGTTGCGCACGAATTGGCGGTACATCAGGATATACAAGATCGTTTACGCGAGGAGATAAAGCAATATCTCGCCGAAGGAAACGGCAAGATTTCTTACGACTCGCTGTCGCAGATGTCTTACATGGACATGGTAGTTTCCGAGGCTCTCAGGAAATATTCTCCAGTAGTTATTCTCGATAGAGTTTGCACCAAGAAATATGAACTGCCTCCTGCACAACCAGGTTGTAAGAGTCTAACTATTGAGCCTGGTACCATAATAATGTACCCTGGTTATTCTTTACAACGCGATCCAACTTACTTCCCGAATCCGGAAAAGTTCGATCCCGAAAGATTCAGCGATGAGAACAAAGACAAGATTGTACCGTACTCTTATCTACCATTCGGTTTGGGGCCTAGAAAATGTATTGGCAATCGATTCGCCCTTATGGAGACAAAGATTCTGCTAGCTCATCTTTTACAAAAGTTTACTCTAAAGACTACGCCTAAGACGGTTGAACCAATCGTATTTAATAAAAAGGAATTTGCGTTGCAACCTGTCGGCGGATTCTGGATTCGTTTAGAAAAGAGAGAAACGTAAAATTTTGTATTACATTCCGAAACATGTTATTTATTATAAGTATATGTTTGGAAAAATATCGCTTTATTCTTAGCTTTCAAAATATTTGATGTATACATCACTTTTGAAAATAATTGTGATAAGATTTATTTGCGATATGTATTTACGTTATCGTATAAGATAAATGACTTTGAAAATGAAGAATTCAAGATGAATAATCAAAGTTCTTGTTAATAACAGATCATGTTAATAACAAAAAAAGATTAAATATCAAATTAATTCATGTAAACATCTTGACTTACGTAAATTCTCAAGTCCATTCGAGCGCTAATCATCTTGAATGGCTTATATAATTTTATATTTATCAAGCAGCTTAGTAGAAACGGCATCATTAGATAAAGTTTATTGTTAATGCTTTATGTAAAAAAATGTCTTTTAGCGCGCAAACATGTTTTGCATTTTTTTATTTTCAAGATAAATTTCTTTTTTTTATCAAATCAGATTATATTCTTTGGAAATTGTCGTAAAATTACGTGTTTTATATATATATATATATATGTGTATACAATATTACACTTTTAAATAAATATAACAACATTGATAATAGTTGATGCAATTCGCTATGATATTGTATATCACATATGTGCATTTATAACATTTTTATTACTTTAATTAATCAAAATATTAATAATTTCTTTAAATGCATTCAAATACTTGCATAAATATATCGACTGTACAGACGTTTAATACGGGCGTTAAAACAATTATGCCATCATATTGAATCTGTATCACTCAGTACAACTGTGTCATTTGTTCAGAACGAGAGCTTAATAGACATTTAGCGGTACGATTGCCTAATCGACAAAATTCTCAGTGTTTTATAAGGAAAATAACAGCGACAATAAATTTGAATAACATAAATTGGAAAAAATTGCATACATATATTTCATATCTCTGTATCTCTGCATTATCGTAATATCATTATACTCAGAAATACATAGATTCTCTCCCAATATCGGCATCTTTCTATAACATCAGCATATGTAAAAAAAAAGTTTCAGAAAATCGTTCTTAATTCATGTAAAAGATACGTCTCGGTCATGAAAGAATGTTTTATCGATAAAATATATTTAGTACAACTTTATACACAATACCTTTTAATAAAATAAAATTGTAAACAATTATCAATTGAACAGAAAACTATTTGTCATGTACTAGTCGAAACAATCTTCTTGATGAATGAAACTAAGATGATGTCATTCTTCCCCTTTGACCGTGAATTATACTTAATTTAATCTTGATGCGGATTTTAAGACGGCGTGTGTTTGCGTGTGTGCGTTTGATAAACTTCGAGCGTAGACGATTGTTTATTAGCGATTCATCGAGATTTCAATCAAATATCATGCGTTTAATAAAACTTTGTAAAGTATTTAAACAATAGCAATTGTATTTAACGATGTTAAATTGATAAATTTTATTCTACAAAGCAATATGTATTATTCGGTCGCTTTGCAACTTTTTTTCTTTATTTATTCTTCTCTGTAAACTCTGTGACAATACAAATAAAATAGATCTATCAGCTAAGTATTGTTGATTTATAGATCGATACGACGTTTAAATTTTTTGAGATCCTATTTGTAAAAAAAGAACAATAGAAAGTAAATTTTAAACATAAAGAAAATATTTTAAAGAGTTCTGATTTAAATACAATATAATATCGTTTGTAGTACCAACCTCGTCACAGTCAAAGCCAGATAGGTATCATCGAGCAGATAGATATCATCGTGCACAGAGGCGGACTTTTGTCGCCGACAGTTCGAGGCACATTCCTCGACTTCTCGGCCGGTGCTACGGACTGCTTATACTCGTCTGCCGGTATGAAGGCGTATGATCGACCGACGACTTACCACGAGCCGAAGTCCAATACCTACGACCTAGTCAGATCCGTCTAGAGTAATGAAACGGTCGCAAGTATTCAGCCACCAATAATCCTAACAAACCGACATACGAGACGACGGTCAGGAATTACGAGGCAAAGTGCCACGAAGTTGCCAAGTAGCACTAGGAAATGACCGGTACCAAGTACCAACATCATCACGAGTCGACGGCAACCAAGTAGCCGAATCTGCAGACTAATTCTTACGATTTGTCCAAGTATCCGGAAGCTAAGAAATATCCGAATGGACTCAAGTACTCCGCGAAAATAAGCAGTGGTACGGCTGCTGTGGCCGTTAAAGCGCTCTGTATCTGTGTACATGGACAATATTACACCACCGCGGAAAAATATATCGTACACGGCGAAGAAAATGATTATCAGCCGCAGAGCGTGTCGTCGCATCCCTCTTTTATACCCTTACATATCATCGTACATGGCACAATCGCCATACTACATAGGACCTCGATAGATTCCGAATCGGTGAGAAAGATGACGAAACAATCCTTAGACATTTTTACATTGATCTTTACATGAATTAAATTGTGCAACCAATTCGCGATTTTCTTACGTGATGCCATAACTTTGTCAAGGCTACTCAAGCGAAATTACAGAATATCTATCCGTAATTCATAACGCTGGTCGATATATTTTTAATCAACCGTGTTAATTGAGACAATCATGTTAATACGTGATTTATTATGACTATATTTTCGAGAATATTTGATAACAAGTTTTTGCTCTTTATTCAGATGATATAATTTCTTTTTATATTATTATGTTACGTTACTTGTTTTATTTACATATCAGATGACTTGCACCATTCAACAAATCTTTGTCTTTATCAATGTGTGATAAAAATTGTTAAATGCTTTAATCTCTTCCCTATTTAATAAGAGGCAGAGTGAGAGTGGAAGAGAGAAAAAAGCATGTATGTATGTGTTTAAGTAGCAAAACAAATTGATTAATGATAACAAACAATTTATAAAAAGATCTTTAATGACTAATACGGATAAAGATCAACATTTCATTAAATTGATAATTCTTTGTTCAGTTAATATGCTGTGTAAATTTATTTTTGCAGTAATCAAACAATACTTCTTGTTTTTCGTAGCGAGTTGTTTTTTTACTTTTACTAATTAGATTTAATTGCTTTTACTAATTAGATTTAATTGCAAGCGGCTGTAACAGTTAAAAAATGATCCGTTATTTCAAGAATTATTTTGGGATTCTGAGATTCTGTAACATATCGGGCAGACATCTTAATTTATCGCATATTACAGGTTTCAAGATTATTATTATACTTTTCAAAAAAATATAAAGCTGTAGAGAGTAAAACTATAAATCACGATCAAGAAACATATTACACATTATTTTTTGTCTATGACAAAATATAACCATAATCATAAAATCGCTATAGGTACTCGAGGAAACCAAGCTTTAAACTCTGTACTATCACCTCATAATGGTAATCTCGAAACGATTAACGATGAACACATTAATTTAATGAGCCATGAAACAATATATTGCAATATTTTATACGAATTGTGCAAATAGAGATTTCGATTAAAAGATAAATCTACATTCGAAGAGATAAGTATTATCGAATGTTCTCTTTGGCAGAAATTAAAAGGAGAGAGAGAGAAAGAGAGACCTTTTGTAGACTTTCACATTTTTATATCTTTCTCTCAACTGATTTTTGGAAAATAAAACATAAATTTTCTTGTTATTTTTTTAAAACTCTTCATCAGCTATTTCTATGTAACATTTCAATCAGATGCAAAACTCATACGCAGATGCAAGAGATGCATACCGAATCAAATAGCGATTATGTAATCGGTAGAAACTATCTTCATGCTGAAAACATTGACAATTTATCTTGGAGCAATTTTTTTAGCAAATTAGATTATTAATGACTGACTTCTGAGATAAGTCCAAAAATATAAAATTTTGTTAAACGTACTACATGCGCACTTACTGATTACGACACGTATCATCGTTAATACTACTGAGCGTTTCTCCCACTCCAATGTCACTTCTGTCACAATAAGATTCGCGCTATACGTATACGTATTTATAACGTTCTACGCCGTGTCCGACGAAGCATCTCTGTTGAGTCTATTATACTGTGATATCGCAAAATGGATTGGTCGTGGTTTTCGACGCCTTTTGGGCTGTTACTGACCACTCTGATCGTCATCGTGGTCTCGAAAGTTATCGCCACGGTGAAACGTATATATTTCTATTGGAAAGGTAAAGGCATACCTTACATACCAAATTCGTTATCGTCTGCCATGATAGGCTGGAAAATGTTGGCTGGTCGCTTGCATTTCACCGAATGGAGCGATTATTTGTATTATTATTTCCCGAACGCTAAGTACATTGGAATGGTGGATGTCGCTACGCCTGCCATATTTCTGCGCGATCCTGAATTGATTAAAGATACCATGGTGAAGGACTTCGAGCACTTTCAAGATCATCGCGCGTTCGTTGATGAGAATCTGGAACCGCTGTTCGGCAAGGCCGTGTTCTTCATGCACGGAGATCGCTGGAAAGAAATGCGGAACGTACTAAGCCCTTCCTTCACCGCCAGCAAGATGAAGCTTATGTTCGACTTGATATCGGAATGCGCTCATGAATTCACCAACTATTTTGTCGAACATCCGGAGCTCTGTTCTGATGTCGAACTAAAGAAAACTTTCAGGCGTTACACCAACGATGTGATCGCCACAGCGGCCTTTGGTCTGAGTGTGAATTCTATGAAAGAGCAGGACAATGAGTTCTACGCAAGAGGAATAGAGGCTACCAAGTTCTCGAATGGGTTTCTCATGATGCTCAAGTTCATACTTCTACGCTCGTTTCCAAAGTTTTCGAAAATGATCGGTCTGACGCTCTTCTCAAACGAGACATCCACGTTTTTCAGGAAGATCGTGGCGGATACCATTAAAATGCGGGAGGAAAAAGGTATTGTCAGACCAGATATGATTCAATTGCTAATGCAGGCTCGGGAGAAGGAAGATGCGCAGATGACGTTAGATGGCATCGTTTCGCAAGCCTTCGTCTTCTTCTTTGCCGGCTTCGAGACGTCCGCGACGCTGATGTGCTTCGTTGCACACGAATTGGCAGTTCATCAGGATATTCAAAATCGTCTACGCGAGGAGGTAAAGCAACATCTCGCCGAAGGAAACGGCAAGATCTCTTACGACTCGCTGTCGCAGATGTCTTACATGGACATGATAGTTTCCGAGGCTCTCAGAAAATACGCTCCAACCGTTCTTCTCGATAGAGTTTGCACCAAGAAATATGAACTGCCTCCTGCACAACCAGGCTGTAAGAGTCTAACTATTGAACCTGGTACCATAATAATGTACCCTGCTTACTCTATACAACGCGATCCAAATTACTTCCCGGATCCGGAAAAATTCGATCCTGAAAGATTCAGCGATGAGAACAAAGACAAGATTGTACCGTACTCTTATCTACCATTCGGTTTGGGGCCTAGAAAGTGTATTGGCAATCGATTTGTCCTCATGGAGACAAAGATTCTATTAACTCATCTTTTACAAAAGTTTACTCTAAAGACTACGCCGAAGACCGCCGAACCAATCACATTTAACAAAAAGGATTTTATGTTGCAACCTGTTGACGGATTCTGGATTCGTTTGGAGAAGAGAGAAACGTAAAATTTTGTATTACATATTGTAACATGTTATTTTATTATAGTTATATGTTCGGAAAAATATCGCTTTATTTTTAGCTTTCAAAATATTTGATGTATACATCACTTTTGAAAATAATTGTTATAAGATTTATTTGCAATATGTTATGTCATCGTATAAGATAAAGTATAATCAAAGTTAATAACAGATCTTGTTAATAACAAAAAAAAGATTAAATACCAAATTAATTCATGTAAACACTGACTCTTGACTTATATATATTTTCGAGTCCACTGGCGCTAATCATATTGAATGACTTTTATAACTGTATCTATTCTATTTATCAAGCAGCTTAGTAGAAATGGCATTGTTAAATAGAGTTTATTGTTAATGCTTTATATAAAAGAATGTCTTTTTTAACGCGCAAATGTGTTTTGCATTTCTTTGTTTTAAAGATAAGTTTCTTTTTTTTAAATCAGATTTATTCTTTGTAATTTGTCGTAAAATTACGTGTGTTTTGTATAATATCATAATTTTAAATAAATATAACATTGATAATAGTTGATGCAATTCGCTATTGCATAACACATATGTGCATTTGTAACACTTTTAATACTTTAATTACTCAAAGTATTAATAATTTTAAAAATTTTTGCATTTAAATACTTGCGTAAATATATCGATTGTATATATGTTTAATACGGGCGTCAAAACAATTATCATATTGAATCTGTATCAATATAGCTGTCATTCGTTTACAGCGAGAGCCTAATATAGTCATTCAGCGGCATGCTCGCCCAACCGACAAAATTCTTAATATTTTATGAGGAAAATAACAGTGACAATAAATTTGAATAACATAAATTGAAAAAAAATGCATGCATATATTTCATATTTCTGAATCTCTACATTATCATTATATTCAAAAATATGTAGATTCTCCCCTAACATCAGCATCTTTCTATAACATCAACGTATTTAAAAAAAAATATTTTCAGAAAATTGTTCTTACTTCATGTAAAAGATACGTCTCAGTCAGGAAAGAATGTTTTATCGATAAAATATATTTAATACGAGATTTTATACACAATGCCTTTTAATAAAATAAAATTGTAAACAATTATGAATTGAATAGAAAACTATTTGCCATATATTAGTCGAAACAATCTTTTTGATGAATGAAACTAAGATGACGTCATTCTCCCCCTTTGACCGTGAATTATACTTAATTTAATCTTGATGCGGATTTTAAGACGGCATGTGTTTGCGTGTGTGCGTTTGATAAACTTTGGGCGTAGATGATTGTTTATTAGCGATTCATCGAGATTTTAATCAAATATCATGCGTTTAATAAAACTTTGTAAAATATTTAAACAATAGCAGTTGTATTTAACAATGTTAAATTGATAAATTTTATTCTACAAAACAAGATGTATTATTCGGTCGCTTTGCAACTTTTTTTCTTTATTTATTCTTCTCTGTAAACTCTGTGTACATGAACAATATTATCCCCCCACGAAGGGATATACCGTACACGGCAAAGAAAATGATTATCAGCCGCAAAGCGTATCATCGCATCCCTCTTTTTACCCCTACATATCAGCGTTCATGGCACAACCGCCATACTACATGGGACCTCGATAGATCCCGAGTCGGTGGGGAAGATGACGAAACAATCCTTAGACATTTTTACATGATCGAATTAAATTGTGTAACCAATTCGCAATTTTCTTACGTGATGCCATAACTTTGTCAAGTCTACTCAAGCGGAATTACTGTCCGTAATTCATAACACCGATCGATATATTTTTAATCAATCATGTTAATTGAGACAATCATGTTAATATGTGATTTATTAGGACCATGACTATATTTTCGAGAATATTTGATAACTAGTTTTTGCTTTTTATTTAGATGATGTCACTTTTTATATTATTATGTTACGTTACTTGTTTTATTTGTATGTATCAGATGACTTGCACTATTTAACAAATCTTTATCTTTATCAATGTATCTCATTCTTTATCAATGTGATAAAAATTCTTAAATGCTTTAATCTCTACGTCATTTAATAAGAGGCAGAGTGAGAGTGGAAGAGAGAAAAGTGTGTATGTATGTATTTAAGTAGCAAAACAAATTGATTAATGATGATTAATGATGATTAATGATAACAAACAATTTACAGAGAAATCTTACAATGGGTGACTAATACAGAAAGATCAACATTTCATTAAATTGATAATTCTTTATTCAGTTAATATACTGTGTAAGTTTATTTTTGCAGTAATCAAACAATACTTCTTGTTTCTTGTAGCGAGTTTACTTACTTAGATTTAAGCTCAAGCGGCTGTAACAGCTAAAAAATGATCCGTTATTTGAAGGATTATTTTGAGATTCTGAGATTCTATGACATATCGGGCAGACATCATCATAATTTGTGGCACATTACAGGTTTCAAGATTACTATATATTTTTTATATTATATTTTTCAAAGAAAATATGAAGCTGTAGAGAGTAAAACTACAGATCACGAGCAAGAAACATATTACACATAATTTTTTGTCTATGTCAAAATATAATCATAGTCATAAAACCGCTATAGATACTCGAGGAAGTCAAGCTTTAAACTCTGTACTATCATCTTACAATAGTAATCTCGAAACGATTAACGATGAAATACATTAATTTAATGAGCCATAACAAATAATATATTGCAATATTTTATATGAATTGTGCCAACAGAGATTTCGATTAAAAGATAAACTTACATTTGAAGAGATTAGTATTATTGAATGTTTCTTGGCAGAAATTAAAAGGTGCGAGAGAGAGAGAGAGAGAGAGAGAGAGAGAG